TCCCTACATACTTTGACGAAACTGACACAAAATCCATGAAATCTGTTGACTGAAAAAATGTGCCCAGCTCAGCTGGATGTTCTGCTGTGATGAGACTTACATTCAGCAAAGCAAGGCTAAGGGACATACCCCCCAATATAAAGGTGATCTTTTGATGCAACAAATTAAGAACATAGGACTGAAAGGGGACTTTTCTGCCATTGAGTCCAGACCCCAGTATTTCCAGGTAACCATTTACTCAGAATTCCCCAAAATTGCCACTTCCAGCCCTTACACACAGAACTACATGGTGCAAAGCCAGATATATCAGAAATGCCCTAAAGCATGTCCTCGATAAAAGCAGGTGAGATGAGAGCACTGACAATGTCCTACAATACTGGTTCATATATGTAGAAACTCTTCTATTACTCCCCTCTACATGGTCCTCCACTGGTGGTCTGGTACAGAGATGAGCTGTGAATGTTGCAAAGTTTGTTGGGGTTTTTTTTCCTACTGAACTTGTAAAACTGAAATGTGATGTGACCCTAATGTTTCTAATCCGGCTAGTAACCATGATGATTTTGCTGCTTGGTGACCTGAGGCACCCGATAATGTCCCTGATGCATTTTTTTATTTTGATAAAGAACATCACTTATCTGAATAATAACTTATGGTCTTCCATAGTTTGGTTAAATCACCCAGTGTATATCAAGCGACAGTCAGGAAACCCAGTCTAAGAAAAACCAATTAACTGGGGAAAGACAGTCATCTATCTCAAAAACAGTTACTTGTTCTGCTTTTGTTGAATATTTGATTATTATAAACCTTTCCGTTTTGGGGACTGAACACTTGGCAAGATGTGTCATGCCAATTCTTAGGCAATATAAATGCTCTATAAGCTATGGCAAAACCGCCCATAAATTGCCTGAATTGGAATTGCCTGCTGTATCATTACCATGCTGACGTGGAAAACCAATCAATAACCAGCTTTGAGAACATAGTCTGGCAGCAAGGCTACTGGGATATAGTTGTTAGGGACCAGTAGGTGATTTATTTGATCTGGGAAATAGTAGCTTTTTTGGCACAGCTGAGATGCTTTTAAAACGGGTCCAGTTATGTAAGAACATGAGACGAACATATTGACTGCCATGAGCTTTGTCATTATCCCTGCATCTCAGAATCAAGCTTCAGTATGGACTAATAAAACTCATGTCTCAAAGCTAAAGCCAAACTACTGAACTTTTGACTGGTATATCAACGTACTACTCATCTGTATGCTTGACTTTAGCCCCAAGGAGCAAATGTCATTTACATTGAATCTTGTTGACACTATTGAGACAGTGTTCTGAAATAAGAAACGTTTTGTGCATATATATATATATTGAAGAGAGAAGTGGTCAAAATCTCACAGAAACCCTGAGCTGCCTCAGTTTGAAATCTCCACTCAGTTTGTGAATGCCATAGACTGAACTTTGTTCATGGTGATGGATCTTTTGTAGGAGAATTTTCACCCTGAGCCTCCATGAGCTTGATCAGCCATCAAACCCTTCTGCGAGACACTGCAGAAAACCAAGATCAGTAATATTATAGTAATATTCTGTCAGATAGATGATGCTTCATCACACAACCATGATTCTAGATGCTATACTCACCCTGTTATTTAATAATTATTTATATTGCACAAGTGTCTAGAGACCAATGAGTTGAGGGCTCCATTGTGCTGAGCACTGTACAGACATATAGAAAATGATTGCCCTTTACTTACAGAAAGCAAGCATACAATCACAGTCATGGTCTCTACCTTATTATGTGGAATCATGGGTATAACAAAGGATCTTTAGCCCCAGAACCACAAAACTCTTCCATTTGAGCTAAAAAGCAAAACCTGTGTTGGCTGACTTTTAATCGTTATGTAGGTCAATCCTTCAAGGGTAACATGTTCACACATACTTGAGCTAATCCATTGTGGTAAGAAATTGGAATGTATGCTTTTGGTCAGGCACAAAACCTAGCTTAAGGACTTTCAGCTATCTGGCATGTTATTTGGTACACAGGTAATTGGATATAATTTAATCAGCTAAAGGGGCACAGAAATCAAGCTAGTATAAGCAACAGAAGAACATCTCAAAACCAACCAGAAAATCAAGACATTAATAATCAGGGGTACAGCTGAGACTCATAGAGGTTAATACTGTTCCTGAGTCTACAGGGTTGGCTGCAAAGTCTCCTCTAGAAGGAAAATGTGAGAATGATCTACGAGGCAAGGATTTCTTAATAGGATATCTTTTACTAGAGCAACTATGCAGATGGGATAAACAGTTGGCCTGATAAAAGCTATCATCCCGAGAAATCCTTGCCTCTTGCATAATTTCTGGACCATCCCAACTACAGCATCAATCTTACACTACTATAAGAATGGTCTAGATAATATTAAGATATGTATTCAGCTGGTATAAATCAGTGTGGCCAAGTTAGTGAAGCTATGACAGTTTGCACCCACTGAGAATCTGGCCAAACGTTTTGAACAGTTAAGTGTTGTCAGAAACAATGCCAGTGTTTGAACAGAGGAAACAACTCTGCAGGGACCATGCCAACACCCCCAGTCTCACGGACAGACAGTTAAGTGCCAAGGATCCACAACGTCCATCAGAAACAGAAGGCTCTTGAGCTTCTAGTATCTTATGTAAAGTTCTCTGATATAAATAGTATTGGATTTGCCATGAACTGGAAAAAATGTTGCCGGCATTATTCTTATAGTCCTGACCTTCTATTTGGGTATGCTTCTCAAGAGGCTTGGTGAATTCTTTATGAGTAAGCAT